AATTCTTGCATGTTTCTTAGTGTACATCTTCCTGCACAAATAAAATGCTTATATCAAGCTTTTTCTCATCAGCTGCTGCTGCTGTTTTTCCACAAACTAGATGCTTGTATAAACAGGAGCTGCAAATGACACCATGCGTCTCTCAAGATGTAAAAAAGTTCTTTCTTTCTTTCTTTCTTTCTTTCTTTCTTTCTTTCTTTCTTTCTTTCTTTCTTTACTTCCTCCCTCCCTTCCTTCATTTATTTTTTCTGAAAGCTACAGTATGTGCCTCTGTATGTTTTCCTTCAAACATAATTATATCTGTATTTAGTAGGTCATTGCCAAGTGGTGGTGAAGAAAGAGAACCTTAGTGTTCTTGGTGAATTAAATTCCATACCCAAATAGAACTTAATTCACATTGTTTAGGTTGATAAGTACAGTTTCTTTAACCATATTTATTAAATAAATATCAATTGTTCACAGATTAGCCTAAAGCTAAGTTTATTAACCATGGTAGATTGAATGTAATGAAGTTCACTGAGTCCACACAACATGCTATTCTACAAGCCAAGATTTGTAGACTGGTTTCATACAATAAATTATAGCAAAATCAAACCAACCATTCTTTTCATATAGTATATGAACAAGGTTATTCAAATAGTCAAGGACACTGTCACTGAAGAAACAGAATATCAATTCTCTTGCTTTTCATGTCATGAACAATTTAGTCCAACATTTTCCAGATCCAACACCACATAATTTACATGCTTGTTTATCCCTCAAATGTCTGGAAGATGTTCAGTATTTGTATAGAAGGCACCAGGAAATAGCAAGACGGTAGGCTGGATTGAGACGTAAGAGAAGGCCGTCAGGCAATTGAAATTCCAGCCCTTTTTTATACATAGCATACATGGCACATATGCTGTAAAGAGGGCAGACTTTGATTATGTTGGTACAGCCACAATGTTACCTTTTTGGAACATTCTTGCCGAAGACCCTCGGCCAGAATATTGTGGCCAGAAGACCACCCAGATGAAGTAGTATGAAGCATGAGGCTTGTCTATGGAATCATCAGGAACTGAGCTTGACTCAAAGAAGACATTACCTAGATTCTCTCCGAGCATGTATAATTTATACTTATAGTAAAGTTGGAATTAATATTTTATTAATGCTTAATTTAATATTGTGACTCTGGAGAGTTAATCAGGATGTACTGATGTAAAAGTCTAGCCTTTAGAAATATATGTGGTTAGTTGTACATTTCTCCCAGTAATGTTTTCTAACAAATTTAGGTTTTGCCCATCTACTTCTTTGTCACAGCCTACTCTTGGTTTATGGCAAAAACATTCATGATCCTAATACATCCCCGTGGCATTAACGAGCGACCCCTTCTGCTCCAATAAATGCATGCATGATTTTAGCTTAAAGTATTAGAATTGTAGACATGAATACCTTCTAGCTATATGAGATTTTTTATTGTGCCAACAGAACGCCAAGCCCACATATCATGTTGTTATTTTTTCCTGTTTGGGAATTAGGGAATTAACTGACCTGAATATGCTTTTAAAACAGGGACTATAACAGAGGCTGGCATTTTATTCAAGTCCTGGCAGGCCCAGGCTATTATCCTGCAAACTAGTAACAAGTTAAGAATGCCATGTAAAATTATTAGGGGCTGCTTTCAAAAATTTCCTAGGCTTCTTCTGGTAGCTACAGTAACTGGCTATCTAGAAGGAATACAAGATATAGAAAGAATCCAAAAATTAAAAATTAAAATTCCAAGAAAAAATACACTGCCTCTATCTCTTCCAGTAAAACAGTGGTTCCCAAACTTGGCAACTTTAAGACTTGTGGACTTCAACTCAGTAGCAGTAAAATATCAGTTAATAATGGAAGTGCAGATATATTGTATTCTTCCTTTCTTCTGGCTGAGCTTTTACAGGGGTGTGAAACTGGGGGTCTGCGGGCCAGATGCGTCACACACAGGCACCGCCCACCCTGGCTCCACAAAGGCAAAAAATGTCACAATACATTACAATACATCACATGACGTGATCGAGTTTGACACCTGTGCTCTATCAAGTTTAGAAGGCGCCATCACTGAAAATATTTGCTTCACTTTTAAAATATTAAGAGATATCTGAGGTGACTTTAGGCCAGCTACTCTTGCTCAGCCTGAGATTGATTAGTCAGCAAATGCCCATCTTCCAGCACACATTAAACCAACAGGGATCTATGCAGTGTACTCATCATGGCACAATACTATTCTTGTAATAAACTGAACATGGCTAGCTTCTCCTGATATTTCCCTAAACCCATTTCACAATTAAGGTAGAATGTTATGAATACTTGTACATAGTTGAAAGGCATAAGTAATATTGAGCAAGGCAATGACAGGTCAAAAGTGAACAGATCAAGTAAAAATGCAATTATAGAAGCAATCAAGCAGGTTTGCCCTTAAAGAGAGAAATGCTTGTCATTTTTTGCAACTATTTTAATCCTTAATTGCAGGGCTGCTGCCCTGAATCTGCACATTTAATATATTGTGCTAAGATTTATAAATGTCTTTAATTTAAAAAGTATCAAGGAAAAAACAAGCTGTTTTTTTTAAAAAAAAAAACATTTCACCCATGCCAATGGTGGCCACATCCAATCATGTTTATGAAACTGAAGCTCAGAATTGTATTCCCAGCTGAAGGGTATTTCTCCTTATAAAGTTTTGCTATTGAGACAACTGAGCTCTGGAGAAAGAAAAATGCTTATATTGGAAATTAAATATTGAGTAAGATATGGAATCAAGTACACATTAATGAAGATGGAGTATACATAGAATGGAGAAATACATTAGGTACACATTGATTTTACCATTATTATTAGCCAAGACAAAACTATATAGTTGGATCTGTACATTGCTCTAAGTACTGCTTCACTTAATTGTGGTTTATTGGATAAACAACAATTTATTCAATATGGTAATTAAAAACCAAACAAGCAACATTATGGCTTAGTACAGTGGTGAAATTCAATTTTTTTTATCACCGGTTCTGTGGGCGTGGCTTGGTGGGCATGGCAGGGAATGGATATTGCAAAATCTCCATTCCCACCCCACTCTGGGTCCAACCAGAGATGGTATTTGTTGGTTCTCCAAACTACTGTATTTTTCGGAGTATAAAACCCTCCCCCCTAAAAGAGGGTGAAAATTTGGGTGCGTTTTATACACTGAATGTAGCCCCACCCACTTATCTTTCCCTATCTTTGGCCTTTGCCTCCCAGCAATTTACCTCCTTGCAGCAAACAGGGAAAATGGGGCTTGCGGAGGCTGCAATAGGCTATAGCAATCCCTGCAGCCTGAAACAGCTGATGATCGGGAGGTGCGCTTAAACTGAAAGTTGTTGTTTGCCACACGAGGCAAATTGATGGGAGGCAGAAGCAGATTTTTTTGTTGTTGTGCTAATCAAGCTGTTTGCTGTTTGCTGCAAGAAGGTAAGTTAATAACTATAAATGCCTATAGAATGTTCAAATTATTAAACTTATTTTTTTTAAGACTGCTTTATTATTGTTCTAGACAGCTTAACAAAATGAAGAAGCTTTTTAAAATAAATGTTTGATCTGAAGAAGCCCAGTGCTATTGTATCTTCTTTTAAATAGCAGAGAATAACTATACTCTCAGAAAGCACATCAATTTTAACAGCATCTGTACAAGTATAGTCTGAAATGTAACACTACAAACAGTATATATTGTCTGTACTGTTTGCTGTTTGTTGCAAGGAGTAAAATTGCTGGGAGGCAAAAGCAGATTTTTCCCCCTTGTTTTCTTCCCCAAAAGCTAGGTGCGTCTTATATTTGGAGCGTCTTATACTCTGAAAAAATATGGTACTCAGAATTTCTACTACCGTTTCTCCAGAACCTGTCAGAACCTACTGAATTATACTCCTGGCTTAGCGTTATGGCAAGTGCCTAAAGTTTAGGGAATTGGAATTGGAATACAGCTAGATACCTAAAATAAGTAGGAAAAAAGGTGGGTGGGAAAAATGTAACCACTCCTCCCTGCAAGTTCCCTTATGAGTGGTGTGAGATTTTCCCATAGTCAAGCATGGTGGTAGAATGCAGGAAGAGGAAGAATTGTAGAAAATCATGTCAACTGAGGAAAAAAAAGACATGTTTCCATGATCCATAAAGTTATCACATATGCCAGGATGAGAAATATTGGGCTGAAGTCTACAAAAAGGATCTATGCACAAATCCCTGGGGATTCAAGATGTTGCAAGATATAGTGTAGAACTATATTGAAACAATATCTCAAAATATAATTATTTACAGTTGTTTTACAAGTATTTCAGTTCTCAATTTGAAAAGTTATAGAAGAAATCTTTTGGTGACAAATATTCAACTTTTCCAAACTCTGTTTGGGATTATTGTTTTCCTAATCTGGTGCTAACCTTATGATTTATTCCAATCAATCAGAGAACCGAAAGCAGGAATCCAGAAAATTTAAGTGGATAACCCAGCTGCTGGAGACTTGACAATTGCTCAAGCGTGTGAAATGCTAATTCTAAGTCTTTTTCTGGCAACAGCGTGTGTGTTTGTGTACATGTGTGTTGTGCTTGGAAACAGTGCAGTTGATTATTTTTTCTCCTGGCTTTGGGTCTGGCTCTGGGTATTTATTTTAGCAGGCAGATAAACTTCCAGTCAGACTTTTTCCTCTCAGTTTCCAATCCAGGATTTCTATTCAATATGTTCATGTTCATGATTTCTTTATCTGAAATGAAGGGATGTATCACCAGCTGCAGTTTGCAGATGTTCAAGGCACAGGAATTTCTCTTAGGGAAAAAAATATGTAAATCTTGGGAAGTATTTTGATATGAATGCTAATGAACTTGGTAACATTTTCCTTTTATGATTCTCATGGATATGATTTCTAGCAGTGAATAATAAGAGACTTCATCATCCACCTTCTCAATTCTGACATCTGCACTCTATGCCGGATTCTTTCTTTTCTGTCTTTTGAAGAATACATTTCTTATTCTTACCACAAGGTGGCCCTTTGAGCTCTCTGATACATGCCAGGGGCTTCAGCAGGTAAGAGCTCCTTATTGGTTTATTGAAAGCATGATGCTTCCGAGCAACCCTTTTAAAGAGAAAAGCTAGAAACAGTACGGAGAGCTTGTAGCCCAGCAGCTCTGCCTTGAGGAAGTGAGGATCTGCGAACTCTCATTTCAAATTCATCATCATGAGTGAGGTGAGTGAAGAAATCCTTTTATTTTAGGAAATGGGGAGAGACAGAGAAATAGATAGCTGATAAGGCATGAATTTGCTATGAGGCTAAAAACAGAAAAATCAGATTTGGAATATTTAAGGTTGAGTTGTGTTAATATGAGAAGAATATATTGTTTGAAACTATTGTTATAGTATATGACTATCTTACTTTTCTGACAGTAGGTTATGTACAAGTACTGAATTTAATATGCACTGCTTTAAAATCAGTAAGTAATCTTCACTAGTACATTAATCCTATACCAGTTAACTATGAACAAACCCAGTGAAATGCCATAGAACTTTCTCTGAGCAGATTTGAATTGATGAGAAACTTAATTAAATATATTGCCTATGGTTAGTCTTAGGAACTTCTGCCAACTCAAAAGCATCAATTCTGCAGTTTATAAAAATTCACTGGGCAGGAAAAAAAACCTTTAGTTTCTCATTTTTAGGAAATACTTTAATGAGGTCTGCCTAGATATGTATCTTGTGCGTCCTTAAAAAGTCAAATCAGGCTTATGGTATACAAAAGTTAGATAGAAATCAGAGTGATTTGGAATAGATCCAAAAATCATCCTGTTTGTCCCTCCTTCTCCACTGCCTACCTTATATTGCTTTCCAATGGTAGAGTATTAGTAGCAATTGTGTTTTTAAAATAAAGAAAATTGTGGTTGTCTCTATGTATCCATCTTAGTGAAATGGTTTTCTAGTATCAAGGCAGCTGTAAGTAGCCCTTGATTGAAAATGTCATGATAGCTCTATTAACAGAGTAATATTTCTCCCACTGCATCTCTTAAGTCTTATTAGACAGGTGTTTCCATTATAAAGATCATTTTGGGCAAAAGCCTAAATTTTTTCCACCCCATGGAATCAAACTGCCTGGAGCAGTATATATGCAGAAGCAGATGTTGTTATGGGATACTCTGATCTACTATTTGAAGAATACCTACCACCTTGTCTAAAAAGGGAGGGGTGATATCAATAGTTACGAGAAAGAAATATTGCTTTTTTAATAGGCATAACCCGATACTTTTTATGGAGCTCTGGCAGTATATCCATCCCAGGGAACAGACCTGCCCTGGGACTAGGGAAATTCCTCTCCCAGTCTCCACAGGCTGACTGAGTGCATAGTTAAGAGTCATGTGATCGGATTGTTGAATTTTGAACATTTATGCGTACAGCTGAATAAATAAACTGGAAAAGGTCAACGTTTTTTGTTTAATTACATTAAAATGTCTTTTCTTATGTTTAGCAAATTAAATGGCTAATTGATCTGGCTACATGCCCTTTTTGTTTTAAGTTTAAAAAAGTTTCTTTTTAAACCATATTTGATTTCTCCCGTCCACAGTTTATTATAATCTGATTTTGTTCCTGGTGCCACTAACTGTTCATAAAATTGTCATTCACAGTACAATACTACAATATACATTTAGCTCAATTAAGATAAAATCTTTCTCCCCTTCAGTTCAGCATAAACTGGAATTTCTTGCATACCAAAAATAACTGTGTAGCAAAAATAAGAAACTTAGATTGCTAAACTTAGATTGCTAAATTTAGGCTCCATCAGCCATAGGGGAGCCTGAGCTAAAGCCCATCAACCTCTGCCAGTCATTCAATACAATTTAAAGACTGAATCAGAATTTACAAATCTTTTGTGTCAACAGTATGTTTACATTATCCTATAGATATTTTGAAATCCAAAGTTGTAATTCTGAAAAAAAATTGTAAAAAGAATTATCAGAATATAAAATTACATCCCTTGGTAACTGTTTTTTATTCAAAGGGAAAAAGAAATCAATATGAAAGAGAAATAATGGTTTTTTAAAATAAAAAGAAACAAAAACAGTTTCAGAGAGAATTACAATTATTTGAGCTTTCTGTTTTGGGTGGTGCATTTGATAGAATATTAATTTGGTGAACTGAGCTTTAAAAAAATTGTTTTAAGCTTTAAGGAGATGAAATCTGATATACTTAAATGGGCCTAGCAGTTTTATATATGGCTAGGAAAATATTGTCTCCAAATACTCCTGAAAGAGAATGGACCAAAGGAAGAAATTTCATAGTAGAGGTTTTTATACTTCCAAATGAGTCTAGGATTTTCAGAAATACTCATCTTCTCAGTTCATTTATTTCATTGCATTTAATGATTTTTCTAATTTAATTTCTTTATAATGGGGATAAATGTTGCTAATCTTCTATGGTTATAGAAAAAAATGAATAGCATAGTAACATATTCCTTATTTTGACGTTACCGTTTTTTGTTAGTTAATTTGGTATGTATTCTTTTCTTTTTAAAAGGTTCCCTTGAAATTTGATCTAATAGTTAGTATGATTATAAGACATTTAAAGGAAAGGTATATGCAGTTGGGTGGAAATTGGAACTTGCTTCATTCTTTTTAATAATAGCTATATAAAGCTAATGCACATACTGTATCACATGTACATTCACAATTTTTCAAAGTATTAGAATTTTTCAAAGTATCTATACGGTCCAGTGAGCTTTCTTTGTGTGTATCTATAGATATCTGTATATCTACCTTTCACTGCTTGCTTTTGTATATTCAACATGGAATCCAAAACATAAACCAAGGTAACATAGGGATAGAGTTAAGGTAGCTGGCTCAGTTCCATTGCCTTCCTATGTATTGACTTATGCGTAGCTGAACACTTCTATCAGCCTCTTTGTACCATAAGAAGGATAAATATGGTAGAAGCTAGGAAAATACATAAATGCATACTGAGTCTTTGGATTAAACATATATAACAGTAAAAAGCCAGACTGTCAATACAGTTCTATTTTCATAACCACTGAATTAAACTTAAACCTCAGGTTTAAACCTCAAATTAGTTTTGAAAAAAATAGCAGAAAAAGATATAACAGTATCTTACAATATATTGACTCCATTTTAAAATACATTTTAAGATGAACGCAGCTCTCCCCAATACAAAACAATACAGGAGCCCTCTAGAGTCAACAGGGCTCAATCTAAAGCTAAAAAAGGGCCAATTAGTTAAGGCCAAATTTTGATGCCCAAATTGTGAGTGGGATAACTTTCCTGACGGCATCACTTAGTGGATGGATCCTTATATGTGCACACAAGCTGTCCAGCTCTTTACTGCCTTGGATGTATAGCTAGCTATAATTAGGAGAAATGGGGTACTTAGCACTTTGACAAAGAATTCTGCAGCTGACATAAGGTGGGTGGGGTGGGGTGAGAGAAAGAAAGCAAAGAAAGATCACTTAATAATTTGAGCTGACATCCCTTTATTAGATGGGTGGGAACCTGCCAGTTGCGGAAAGGGAGCAAAAGATATCTTAAAGTTGTCACTTTGCCTACGCTTTAACTTGGGACAGGTTGAGGATTTGTTACCCTTCCAAGTTTTGCTGATGGAACTATTTAAAAATATAAGTAACCACATACATTTTTCCAACTGCTTCGAGTGTAGCTACATAAGCATAGCCATAAAATATAATTCCATTAATAGAGAAAGGAGGTTTTAGAGATAGGTTTTATACCTCTGAGCAGGTCATTATTTCTATTGATGTGATAATTATAGTTGCAAAGACTAATGCTGTTGACAAGGTTGTTAAAGAGAAAATGTCTACTTGGTTGAGATGAGAATAACTCACTAGTTCTGATAATACTACCACATTGATATAAGGATAATTAAAATCAATCCCCAAAACAAATATTTGCAAAATAGTTTGCTTTTAAAAATTACCTTGAAAATCTCCATTAACTTTGGACCTCGTTGCCTCATTGAGGTTGGGTTTCTCTGCTTCTGTCAATACTGTAATGTGATTCTTGTTGTCTATGGACTTTTCTGAACCTTTTGATAAATATCTAATGTAATGCTATTGTGTATTGGTAGGCAAAATCCAACTCCATCTTGTCTGATGTTTTCTCCTTCTGCAGCTTTTGGAAAAATACTGTGCTTTTTCTAGAGTTCTTCCATGTGCAAAGTAATTCCTCCATAAACCTTTGTAAATTTATCATAATTTGAAGGTGGAGACAGGGCAAAACAAAATCACCAACAGTGTGTGAAAGGCTAGCAGCTTAAGTTCTTAACCTTTTATAATAAAAGTTTCTGAACAAGCTTAATTATGAGGATTAAAAGCATAAGGCTTCCCAGAGTTTATGCTGGCAATAAAAACTGTGAACATTGCTTAGAGTCCTTTGTTAGAGCTTGGAAAGAAATCTTATTTCTGTTGCTAGTTAGCCTCCTTGAAGCTAACGATTGAATTCACATCCTCTGATCAAGTTAATCATGCTTTATTTATTTATTAAACTTATTTGCTGCCCAACCTACCCTAAGGCAACTTTTATTCATGCAACCACAAAGAGTTCATTTATCAAACTACATTATAAACCCTGGCTTATAAACTTAGCATGTTCACATAACATGCTATGGGAAAGCCAAATAAGTCATATTAAGGCTTAGTGCTATTTGTGAATAAGTGTAGGAAAAAGACCAGGGAAGTAGCAGATGCAAAGCTGATTTTGAGTCATTACGAAGCCTTTTTAGTGACATATAATCTTAATGCTTTAATCTTCCTTTCATTCAACAGTAAGGTTTTGTGTGCCCAGGTGATTTTTAAACAGGAAAAATATAGTAGACAAAACAATATTTTTCATTAGCTCAACTTCTACATAAATTATCTAACCCCTTATTAACTTCTTTCCATCCTTTCTTTAAATAAAAAAAAAATCTTCAATCTCCATTTGCTTTCACCCAAATCTTAGTGAATGATCCTATTTTATAACACCATAGTTTTGGATAGATGATTTATTTCTGACAATTTTTTTCCTGGTAACAAACCAAAGACTCCAATGTTGCTATGCTTGCAATTTGCAAGCAAGGGAATATTGACCTTTTTTTAAAAAAACAAAAAAAACAGCTCTTGTATTCATTTCCTGTAACTATAGCAATTAAAGATGAAAGAGGGAAAGGAAAAAGAGATGAATGAATCTATTACTGAGG